ATCTCACAGGTAAGTTGCCTGAGGAAATCAATAAACTCACAAAATTAAAAGAACTGTGAGTACCTCTGAATATACTTTCAATATAATGCCCTCTAGGTCCTATTGCATTCCTGTTTTTCTGAAGTCTCCTTCTTTCCCTGAGCGGTAACAACTTCACTGGAATATTTCCTAGCTTTGAGAATTTGAAAAACCTTACAGCATTGTGAGCATTTTCACACCATTTGATGTGTAAGAGCTAGTATTTTCTACTTAGATTTAAATTAAATCAGACTTCATGCTTGGTTAACAGAGAGATTCTAGCTTCGGGTTTTGAAGGACCTGTACCACCAAGCATTTCTGTCTTGACTGTAATGAAGGAATTGTGAGTTGTTTTCTAGGTTACATACTTTCTTTAGTTGCTTATTATGATGTCCCCTTTTATTTGGTGGGGTTTTATATTAATATGATGTCTTTACAGAAGAATCAGTGACTTGACTGGAAGTGCTCAAAATTTCCGCCACTAGAAAACATGACAGGCCTAACTAAATTGTAAGTAATTCTCTTGAATTTGGTTTTATACATTAATGGTTCCGTAGTTGTTGAAAGTGTTCTCTTTCCTGAAACTAATTTGTGACTGCAGGATGTTGAGGAGCTGCAATTTATCAGGGAAGATTCTGTTAACATGATTGTAGGAGTATCAACATGATTATAATAAATCATGATTATAGAGATCCATAATAATTGTAGGGATTCATAATAAGGGAATATCTCTTTTACCTTGTATATATATTTGTTTCCTAGAATAGGTAGAAGTCTTAGTAAGCAGTTATGTGTATATATATGAAAGCTGTACATCGTGAAAATAATATACAGAAGAATTCAGTTAGCAACATTATTCTTACTGTTCTTCAGATTCCTTCTTACATAGCTAATATGTCTCAATTGAAAATTCTGTAAGTTTGCCTTCACTCTGATTTGTTTCTTTCTTTTATGATATCCTTTACTTTCTCCCTTCCATACACTGCTGTTTTAACTGAATTATGTATGCGGCCTTCTTGATTATTGTCACGAATTCTGCTCAATGTTTAGACTAGGAAACAAGAGGAGGGGAATTTCAGCCTAGCCGAAATTCTTTCATTACATAATCTTTAAAATATTCTCCAGGTCTCAAGTTGGTATAGTATTTTTTCTGGTTTGAATATGGTTTTCTTTTTGGGCAGAGATCTAAGCTTCAACAGGCTTGAAGGATCGATCCCGGATCTGGAGCGCCTGGACAAACTGAAGACCTTGTAAGTGACAAATTTATCATACTCTTAAATTCTTCTTTTAGCTTGCCTGACTATGTGCCGGCCGTAAATTCTCAACAAAGCCAACTTCTTCTCCTTCATTGAAATACATATGATAAAATTAATACATGAGACTTGGATGCCAATCAGCCTAGTCTTCAAACACATTTAATGCATAGAAATTTTAGTTTCTGACATTATATAGGTTATTTAGAGCTTGATTCATTTATTTTGAAGTTTTTTGTTCCAATTGATATCTGTTGAAATAAAGATTTTGCTTCGCAAGGTACCTGACAAGCAATAGACTTACTGGACCAATTCAGGATTGGATCGAAAATAGAAATTCCGAATAGTAAGTTTATTACTTTGGATTAGCATGGTTTTGCTTATAACCTACTCATGCCATGAGAATGCTAGATTCTCTTCATCTCAAGAACTTAAGATTCTAAGGGCATATAGCCCATAAATGCCAATTTTTCATACATATTGTATCCCTAAACGAATTTCTTTTTGTGCAACACACTTGTTGATTTTGCTATGCACCATTTGAAGTTTCATAGATCTATCTTACAACAACTTCAACGAAAGCTCCGTGCCAACTACTTGTCGGGAAACCCTGTATGATCCTTGAACCTTGGTCTTCTTCCCACTCATTTTTGATATTGGGACACCATCTGTCGTTATCTCTAAGCTACATTTCCTTCTTCTTATCAGAAACTTGTTCAAAAGCTATAACTCAACAAAAAAGTCGTAAGTTATTTAACTTGTCTTATAAGACACTTGATGCATTAGTTTTTCTCTTTAGAGAATTATCAACTGGTTCATGCCTTCTGACCCTCTTTCCAACTTAATACAGAGAACTTGGGAAATGCTTGTTAAGTAATACTTGTTCAAAGAGTAAGTTTATCTTTCTACAAGACAATGATTCATTTTCTCTCTATCTAAGATTTTGTTCTCATATACTCTACTGCTTCTTTTAAATATACAGTACATCCAATTCTTGTTGATAAAGGAGAAAGAGGGCTTGACAATTTTGTTTCTTACTGCGTCATGTTACATAAAGGCAATGTTGGATAATTGTTTTAATTATATACAGATTGGTATTCAGTGCACATAAATTGTGGTGGAGAGAGTGTGACAATAGGGGACACGATTTACGAAGCAGATGAAAATTCCGCAGGTGCTGCAAAGTTTGTCTACTGGAAAGAGAGCTGGGGATCCAGCAACACCGGGGACTTCTGGTATGTTCCCATAACATCGAACGAGTACAAGGCAACTAACGTATCTTCCATTAAGGGACACAATTCTGAACTATACACGACAGCTCGGCTCTCAGCTTTATCTCTAACTTACTATGGACGTTGTTTAATAAATGGAAACTACACTGTGACACTGCACTTTGCAGAGATTGTTATAAGAGATAACCGATCTTTCCAGAGTCTCGGAAAACGGATGTTTGATGTCTATATTCAGGTCAATTAAATATAAATCTGAGTATTGAGTCAAGGTTTAGGGGCAGTTAGCTAACAATATAACTGGATGCAGGGTGAAAGGAAGCTCAAAGATTTTGACATTAGAACTACTGCTCGAGGAGTTGATAAAGCTTTGACAAGAAAATTCAATGCATCTGTAGAAGATGGCATTCTAGAAGTGCGCTTTCAAAATGCTGGGAAAGGAACAACAGCTGTCCCTAGAAGAGGAAGCTATGGCCCTTTAGTTTCTGCCATCTCTTTTGAAGCTAGTAACACTACTATTACCCTTTGTTTCACTTATTTCTCTTTCACAGATTCTCTACACTTATTCTATTACCTTGGTGACCTTTTACATGATGATATTATGATACTGTTTCCACATGTTAATTATTCTCAGAGAGCCTACAGAAGAGGCTTCATCTCTTTCCTCAATCACTTTAAGATTATAAGTATAAAAACAAATGTAAGTGCATTTTACACTCTTCCTCTTCCTTTTTTTCTATATCATAGATTCCAAGCCCTCTTCAAAACACAAAAATATGGCTTACATCATTGCTGGAGCAGTGGCTCCCTCATTAGTTCTCCTCTTTACAATATTCTTTGTTGCTTAGAGGAGAAGCAGAAGCAGGATATCAAAGGAAGAAGGTGATGCTACAGATGACCAGCCTATTTTGTGTCTTACCATAGTCTGTTCTCCTGAAAAGTTCTTATCAAAATAAAATGATGGATTTTGAAAACAAGAACATTATGGAGATGTGCATTTCATACAAGTACATGATTATATGGAAGTGTTACACATTTGAAATGTTTGTTTTTTCCTGTATATATACAGAATTAAGAGGACTGGATCTACTGACTGGTGTATTTACCATCAGACAAATCAAAGCCGCGACAAACAACTTTGATGCTGCAAATAAAATTGGGGAAGGTGGTTTTGGCTCCGTCTACAAGGTGCATCTCAATCTGATCACTACAAGCTTTCTAATATTTCTCTCTCCACATACCAATGCCTCATCCCATGCAGTCATTTACATACACATGCAAGCAGAGGAAAATCCAAGATTTTAAAGAGTTGCCAAAAAGGGAAGATATTCTTTTGAAACTGACCAAAAAGGAAAGTAAGACAAACAAATTGAAACGGATGGAGTATAATTTTAATGTTTTTTCACATATTACTACAGTACAAATAAAAACGATGGGTTCAATTGATGTTATTATAGGTCCTCCATCCACTGCAGGGCACACTACAACCATTTACCTTGACCCTTTTTCGTTTAGCTACAACATCTAGAAGTGGAGGTTTTGCATGTATAGACAGCCGTGACCTGTTTATTTCTTCTTTGTTTTTAATTAATAAGCAGGGTACACTACTGGATGGTACAGTCATTGCTGTTAAGCAGCTTTCATCCAAATCAAAACAAGGGAACCGCGAGTTTGTAAATGAGATAGGTATGATCTCTAGTTTACACCACCCAAATCTTGTCAAACTATATGGATGTTGTGCTGAAGGAAATCAACTTCTATTGGTGTATGAGTACTTGGAGAACAATAGCCTCGCCCGTGCTTTATTTGGTAATTTACTATCCTTGCTCATTGTTTTCAGTTACAACTTACAAGTCAAACAGAAAATAAGCTTAATGGAATAAGAAGAAATATTGCTTGTTCGTAATTCATGAAAGAGTTCAAAATGAGAGAAGGTATGCATAGATTCTTAGTTCTCATTAAAATGCAGGTCCAGAAGAACATCGTCTCCAAATAGACTGGCCAACAAGGCAAAAAATCTGCATTGGGATAGCAAAAGGCTTAGCTTTTCTACACGAGGAATCGTCATTAAAAATTGTTCATAGGGACATCAAAGCAACAAATGTTAAATTTGACAAGATTCAAAGATGAATTAATGTGAAGATTTGGTAGTTAGGAAGATAATTCTTCATTGGTTCAAAAGTCAAGATAACATCTTTTGTAGGTGAAATTTAGGTGAACCATAAAATGGTTTCACAAGGTAAATCTTGACATTTTGACACATTGTGATGTCATGGATGACATCAATAGGAAGAATTCACTCCTATAAATAGGTAGTTCCTAATCTCACTTGCCTTCTCATCTTCAAAGGCATTTGATCTTCTTTCTCTCTTGTAGTATTTCACTTGTACTCTTTTGGAGTGAAATAAATATTGGTTGGTTGTGTCCGAGGAGTAGGCAAAAGAAAACAAAAGTTTGTCGAACCTTGTTAATTCCTGGTGTTCCTTTTATTGTTCCACTGCAGGGCACACTACAACCATTTACCTTGACCCTTTTTCGTTTAGCTACAACATCTAGAAGTGGATGTTATGCATGTATAGACAGCCATGACCTGTTTATTTCTTCTTTGTTTTTAATTAATAAGCAGGGTACACTACTGGATGGTACAGTCATTGCTGTTAAGCAGCTTTCATCCAAATCAAAACAAGGGAACCGCGAGTTTGTAAATGAGATAGGTATGATCTCTAGTTTACACCACCCAAATCTTGTCAAACTATATGGATGTTGTGCTGAAGGAAATCAACTTCTATTGGTGTATGAGTACTTGGAGAACAATAGCCTCGCCCGTGCTTTATTTGGTAATTTACTATCCTTGCTCATTGTTTTCAGTTACAACTTACAAGTCAAACAGAAAATAAGCTTAATGGAATAAGAAGAAATATTGCTTGTTCGTAATTCATGAAAGAGTTCAAAATGAGAGAAGGTATGCATAGATTCTTATTTCTCATTAAAATGTAGGTCCAGAAGAACATCGTCTCCGAATAGACTGGCCAACAAGGCAAAAAATCTGCATTGGGATAGCAAAAGGATTAGCTTTTTATGCATGTATAGACAGCCATGACCTGTTTATTTCTTCTTTGTTTTTAATTAATAAGCAGGGTACACTACTGGATGGTACAGTCATTGCTGTTAAGCAGCTTTCATCCAAATCAAAACAAGGGAACCGCGAGTTTGTGAATGAGATAGGTATGATCTCTAGTTTACAGCACCCAAATCTTGTCAAACTATATGGATGTTGTGCTGAAGGAAATCAACTTCTATTGGTGTATGAGTACTTGGAGAACAATAGCCTCGCCCGTGCTTTATTTGGTAATTTACTATCCTTGCTCATTGTTTTCAGTTACAACTTACAAGTCAAACAGAAAATAAGCTTAATGAAATAAGAAGAAATATTGCTCGTTCGTAATTCATGAAAGAGTTCAAAATGAGAGAAGGTATGAATAGATTCTTAGTTCTCATTAAAATGCAGGTCCAGAAGAACATCGTCTCCAAATAGACTGGCCAACAAGGCAAAAAATCTGCATTGGGATAGCAAAAGGCTTAGCTTTTCTACACGAGGAATCGTCATTAAAAATTGTTCATAGGGACATCAAAGCAACAAATGTACTTCTTGACAAGAAACTAAACCCAAAGATCTCTGACTTTGGTCTGGCCAAACTTGACGATGAGGATAAAACACATATCAGCACTAGAATTGCTGGAACCATGTGAGTTTTCTGACAAGTTCTTTTATTCGTGTTTATGTTTTGTGTTCGTTGAGTAAGAAATATATCTGTTACTTACGGCACAGTAGGGTTAATTCTACATTTCATAAACTTTCTGCAACGGCACCAGAACTTTGCAGCGTAAACTGATTGATGTACGTCCGTATGTTGTTTTCATTCATGCAGCATATATACATTTAATCGCATTACTTCAATTTGAGTGATAGAAATGGTTTCTGGCCTATGTATCCTCTTTATATCTTAAAGTTTCTTCCAATGAACTTAACTTGTATCTCATCCCAATCAGCCATTCTTCATATACTGAAATATCAAGCATGAAATTGATGCCACGTTTAGAAATAACACAGGCATGAATCTAAAGTTTTACTCTGTTGTGCAGAGGATATATGGCACCTGAATATGCACTATGGGGCTACTTAACCTACAAAGCAGATGTCTACAGCTTTGGAGTTGTTGCGTTAGAGATTGTTGCTGGGAAGAACAACATGAAATATCGCCCCAATGAGAAGTTTGTTTGCCTTCTAGATTGGGTAACAAATCATTATCCCTGATATCAATTCCTATGTTCCAAACTTTTGAACTAGTATCTTTGCATTTTATTCAGGCCCTGTTTTAAAAAGGGAAGGAAAACTGATGGAACTAGTAGATGAAACATTGAATTCAGATTTCAAAAAGGATGAGGCTCTAAGGATGATAAACGTAGCCCTTCTATGTACCAATACATCTCCAGCACTTAGGCCAACCATGTCTGCAGTAGTCAGCATTCTTGAAGATCATCTTGACCTTCCTGAGTTTAACTTGGAATCAAGATCCCATGATGATGATGATGATGAGCTCAAGTTTCAAGGGTTAAGAGACAAGTATGATGAGATGCGGAGCTTGAGCGAAAGTCAAACACTTACTCATTCATCCAACACTACACGAAGAGATTGCTCTTCCACTACAATCTGAATCGGCTTTAATTAAATTCACAGTCAGATCAATATTGTGAAACAAAGAGCAACATATTATTTTAGGACTACTAGTTTCAGGACACGTAACACACGTGTGTCCCATGTTAATTAGTATAATTTTTTTAAATGATATAAATGATACTAAAACATGTAAGTAATAAGTGACTAAATTTAGGAAAGGGTAATTGTTTGTAGCTATAAATAGTCAATTGAATTGGTATATAGTTCTCCTTGTACTCAGTGTGGCACTTTCCTTATTTTTTTAATATTTCAATAATATAGAGTTTATAGGTAAACATAAGTAACGTTGATTATGTTTGTAAATGTTTCATATCTTAAAGTTTGTGTCTTATTTTTAAGAAACTATAGTCTCCTCCTCCTTATATTCACATACATATCAAGATCTTGTTTCCGAATAACAATTGTATTTCATAATGTAGAAATATTGATTAACATATGTCTTTTTAAGATGGATAATGTATTGTTGTCAATTTCACGGGGTACACTTGAAAAAACCATATTTATTTGTAATAGATAATTGCATGTACAATGACTTTCTTTGTTTGATTCAAGATTATGAATCCTTCATGTGTAAATTTTATATGAGAATATTAACTAATTAATTGTTTAAATATAAGAGTATTACGAAATATAACATAATCAATCCATATTCACAAACAAGCTAGAACTTAATTAATACAACTGGTTGAAATAATCCATCTAACTTGGCAGCTTCAGGGGTGCAGCTGACTAAAGTGGTGCAATTTTCTAAATACAATGGCACAATCCTTGTTTATGATTATGCATATGCTATGTATATATGTGATGACAGTCCAAAGCCCAATTTGAGATTACTGGACCCAAACACGTAAGTTTAGATCATGTTGTTTGGTCAACATTAAGCA